TTTCTAAGGGAACTTCCCCACAGGATTTCCAAGGCTGTAAATCTTTACAGAAGAAAACTGCCACATCTTTCTCCCAGGGAACAGCTTGTGGGCTTGAAACCACCAAATTTTCAGTTACCAGCCAATCCCTTAACCACTGCTTAATCCTCTGCACCCCTCCATGAGGGCAGCTGTGACTTAGTGACTCACTAACAAAGAATAGTACATGGAAAGAGGGGAACAGTAACTTTATATAGGATAAACCTGGCAAACACGAACTTGGCCAGGTAATCCAGGTGGGCATCATCAGTGAAAAATCATGCATATGATGTGATGAGTGGCGCAGTTCACCTCAGTGGTATTTGAAACAAACATAAACCGAGGTGAATCATGAAAATATTACCAGGAAATCCAAATTGGGAGACAAAATACTTGACCACTATTCTTCAAAACTGTCACAGCCCAGAGAACACTAAAGACACTTTGAAGGACAGATTACCTTATAAAGATCCAGGTGCATACTAATAAGTAAAATGTGTTAAACTAATAAAATTACAATTGCTCATAAACTTAGATTTCATATTAGTTTTGCATTAAAATGATTCCATTCCACCTTGTTATTTTCTATTTTAAAATATTTAAATTCAGAAACATCTCTAGAGAAAACAGAGATAATTACCTACTGGAGATTCTAGTGTATCTTTTTTTTTTATCCTAAAGATTTTCTTTTTTTGTATATGCCACTCTATCTACCTTCTGCAAATTGCCACTTCTTGGATACTCCCTTCCATTATCCTAAAGATTCTCTGCTCATTGCAGTTTGATCACTGATGTCCCTACCACAAACAGCCCTGGGCAGGACAGAAAGTAACTGTGTGAATAAATCCACTGCAATTTGCTAATGAAGGAGAAGTGTGCCAGCCACTATTGATTACTACTTCAACAGGCATTTCACCTTCTTCCTTGCATCCAGAACCCTAATATTGGGGGAGTGATAAAATTCCCAGTTGCTAGGGATACATCTTGATTAGTCTAAGTTAGTTATGGCAATACAATTTCCCTATCATTACAAGTCCTGTAATGATACCTTCTTTCTAATTCTGACATTTATAATTTGTGTCTTCTTTCATTTTTCCCAGAAAAGTCTATCTAAAAAATTATCTTTTTTTTTTTTTTTAACTCTCAAAGAATCTACTTTTGGTTGTATTTATCTCCTCTCTTTTTTCCCCCATTTCAATTTTTCCTCCTATCTTCATCATTCCCATCTGTTCTGGTTACCTAGTGCCACTATGACAAGAATATACCACAAATGGGATGCTTGCACAAACAGGAGTTTATTCTCTTACAGTTTGGAGGCTTTAAGTCCAAGTCCACAGTGTCAGGCTCTAGGGGCTGGGTGAAATCCCCTCAAACGTTGGCTTCAACTCTGCCTTCTGCTCCCAGCCCACTGAAGCTGGAGGCTTTTCTTCACTCAGCTGCTGGCTGCTGAGGCTGACAAGCCCAAGGTTGACAAGTAAAAAAGCACAGTCCCAATGTTACCAAACCACATGGCAGGCCATTAATTCAAGTTCATTGAGAGTCCTAGGGTCGGCAGAGCATGGCAGGCTGCTGAACAATGACAGGGCTACATGCAGGGTTCAAGCGTGCCATAAGCTAGAGACCATTCCCAAAGTTGCTTATATATGGGAAGCAGACCACTTCCCTAAAGCAGCTACTCAGCTTTTTGTGGTAGATTCCACCGTGGAGTTGATTGCTAGTCTCATCATGGGAAATAACGACAACCAGCTGCCCAGCCAAGTTGACACACAATGTTGACACACAATGAGCCCAGCCAAGTTGACACACAAACTTAAGAACCACACCAAACATTACATGCACACACACACACACACACACACACACACACAAGAAAGTGTATCAGTAGCAGGCAGGAAATTACAAGGAATTCTTCGAAAATGTAAAAAGTAGATGCTATCATATTGGTAAATTCAGAGAATTTAAAACATCTATGATAGAAAACTAAGCACATTCAGAAAACTTTTCAAACAGAGTCAACTAAATCAAAGCACTGAAGATGATGCTGGGTCAACTGTGAGATTAAGGAGCTTTTCTTTGATAAGTATATGAATTTGTCCCTGCCCTCTTGTGACTTCCCCATTACCACTTACATTAGGTAGTAAACTCCAGTGGCTGTGAACCCTGCTTGATGCCCAAAATGAAAGTCCAGTGACAGTTAATTTCCTAACTTCAAGGATCCCAGATTAGAGCAGGGGATTGAGACATGTGCAGACCTGCACAGCAGACTCTGAGGAGGCTGAAAACAGAAGCACACATTGACCTAGAAGGAAACACCCTAAAGTCTTCCAATGCCACAGAATTGCCTCTCTTATTTTGGCAAGTGGGAGGGCACCTACCTTACTGCATGCCATGTGCTCCAAAGGGAAAAGACTTCGCCTTACTGAGTGTCCTGCCCTCTATTCAGAGGATGAACCAGCTAAGGAAATGGACACCACAACTGCAGAGTCAATGCATGTTTATTACCTATGTTAATCAAACGAGTACTTTACACTTATATGCATGTCCAGTGGTTTGCAGGTATTTGAGAAAAATGAAAGGGGATCATAATGAATAATCAGAACTCATTGAGGGGAAGAGGGAACAGATAAAATACAGGAAACAGAAGAGAACTGTATGGACAACTTACAATTCATTTTCTCAGATTTTAAAAGAAGACAATGGGCTTATAAAATAAGAATTGGCTACTACAGTACTGGGCAATGAGAGGCTAAATACAAAGACTATGTGTATTAGAATAATAGAAATATACATCAACAGAATAGATCAGAAATAAACCCAAACATCTATAGTGAGCTGATTTTCAACAAGGGTGCAAAGACTATTACATGGTGAAAAGTTAGTCTCTTCATCAAATTCTACTGGGAAGACCATATAGAAGACTTTACCCCAAACTTCAAATTCTCAGTCTTTTAATAACAAATTCAGTTTATAAAATAAGAACAAGCTGCTATAGAATTGAGCAAAGAGAAGATGAGAAAAAGTTTTTGGAATCTAAAAGTATTGCCCCAATTTAAATCTAGAGGCTGATATTCAACTTCCGCAAAACACAGCCGTGCGCATTTCTCCTCTATGACACGCGGTGACAGCTTCCGCTCCCGCGTTCCAGGCAGAGTTCTGTACCCGCCTCCCCCCTACCCCCTACGCCTCATTCGAATCCCAACTGCTCATTCCGGTCTGACTCCAATTGTCTGAGCCTCATCGTCTGAGGGCTGTGCTTTGAGTTCAGACCACACTCTTCGTGGCAGCCTGTTTCCCGAGAGACGTCCTCCGTCCTCAGCTGTCTTGGAAAACCTGGAAGTCCCTGTTACGAGGTGCCTCAGACTGGTCTCTGCCCCCTGCCATGACAAGGGCCCCTTCGCAAGTGCATCAGAACTACCAACGAGAGTGTGAGGCTGCCATCAACTGGCAGATCCACTTTGAGCTCTATGCAGCCTCTGTATACTTTTCTATGGCCTACCATTTCGACCGAGAAGATGTGGGCCTGAAGAACTTCGCCAACTACTTTCTGGGCCGTTGGCGTGAGAAGCATGAGCACACGGAGAAGCTGCTGGCCCTGCAGAACCAGCGCGGGGGCCACATCCATCTTGGAGACATCAGTAGGCCTGCTGCAGATGAGTGGGGCAGCGGACTCAACGCCATGAAGTTCGCCTTCCACCTGGAGCGGACCCTCAACCAGAGCCTCCTGAGCCTTTACTGGCTAGCCTACAGCCAGGATGACATGCAGCTGTGTGGCCTCCTGGAGAGCCGTTTTCTGCACAAGCAGGTGAGGACCATCAAGGAGCTGGGCGGCCACGTGAGCAACCTGAGTTCCCAGGAGGACGCTGGCCTGGCCGAGTACCGCTTCCACAAGCTCTCCCTGGGTGACAGCGACAGCGATAAGGAGAACTGAGCCTGAGCCACACAAACGTGGTCCCGGCTGACTTTTGTCACCTCCTGTTTTGGGCAAGTGTCCTGGTGTTAGAACACCGTTCACTTCTCATTTTACCTTCTTTAAAGACTACTCTTTTTTCCAATAAACAGTTGGTATCAGAGTTAAATAAATAAATGTTTCCTGGCCATTATTGTGTGTCCAACACTCCCAACTATAAAAACAGGGCAAATCCCAAAGCAGATATTCAGATCACTCCCCACACACTCATGCCCCCTAATTTGTGGAACTTGGGAGCTCCAAGAATGGAGGGAGGGAAACAATATTTCAGGTGAGGCTGGAAAACACAAAATTAATCTTCCCGTTATAAACAAGGGGAGGTCGGGTGAGGAGAGGTGGGGTGGGGTGGGGTGGATGAAGTGGTGCCTGGGTGACCATGCATGCATGTACAGGGTAAAACATGGCCTGGAATTCATGGGACTGGTTTCCAGGATATGCAGGGGGTGATGTGAGGAGTGGGGTGGGGACAGACACTTGGTGTCAGAAGGTGAAGAAGTTGGAGAGTGGAGGTGTATATATCTCACTTCCACCTCATAGAAAGTGACTTCTGCCTCAGGAATTTGGGTGAGTCCTGACAACGCACTACAGTTGCAATATGTCTACCAATGCTTTCTTTCACTTGTAACATTTCTACCAATAAAGTATTTTGCTACCACAAATGGGAGGGGGCTGGATAAAATGGCTGAAAATATAAAATTGTGACTAAAAGTCAAATTTGTTGTTTGAATATAAAGTAGAAGATGTCTCCCTGTGCAAAAACGGTGAGGAGGCCACATGTTCTGACCTCCTCTAATCCTACAAGAGGAAGACAGGATTACCAGCAGTAACCCAAGGCCTATTCCTACAAGGCCAGACATGCTGCCTCCCTCCAGCCCTTTCTCCAACCGTTCTTCCCAAAGCACCCACCACCTCTCTCCTGGGTTCAATAATTTGCTGCAGTGGCCACACAGAACTCACAGATTATGGGATTTATTAGGGAAGCACCACAGGCTACAATTCAATTTCAGGAAAAATGCTCAGTCTCTCTCCCAGCCCACCGTCCCTCAGCCAACAGTCTCTTACAGTCTCTTTCCCAGCAGTGCTGGTCCCTCGGTGCCTCACTCAGCAATGCGTGTCTCTTGCGTCTCTTTCCCAGCAATGCGTGTCTCAGGAGCCCATGTCTCTTTCAGCAGCATGTCTTCCTCAACCAGCAGTCAGAGAGAGTTCTGCCCCTAGGAGGCCTCCTTTTGAGCCCAGCAGGGTGGTCAAACTAGCCAATCATAGCATCAGAACTCTAAGCACGTGAGAGAGAGTGGAAACCTCCCAGAACATTGTATTGTGCCATTCCCAACAGAAATAACCCAGATGGGTGACTTTAAAATCAGGATCCCCTCAGTTGCTAATAGCAATTCCCACCTTGGAGTTTACAAAGACTTATGGGTAGAAAAGCCACACTAAGTAATTTACTACACTGCACCCTGAATGTAGTCAGGATCTCTAGCTGCTTTGAAGAATGTACAGCTGGGAAAGGGGTAGCAGGAGGCACTGCACAGATTCAACGAGAGATGATAGTGGCATGAATTACAGTGGTGTCTGAGGAAAGGAAGAGACAGACAAATTCATATTTTTGGATGCATTGGCACGATGAACTCATGGACTGGATGTGACAAGTGGGACATGAGGACAATAATCTAGCTTATGTGATTTGGACTTGAGTACTGGATAGATGTTGGTGCTATTTATTAATCCAGAGATATTTGCAGGAGCTCCTGCGGTGCAGAAGTGGGAAGGCTTGTCCTGTAAAATCTGAGATACCTACTAGGCATCAAAAGTGATGTCCTGCAGGTAGCAGAAAATGAATTTGGGCTAAGGGAGGGGTTTGAATTCAAGCATTAACATATTTCTAAAAAGTGTATCCAAATTAAAGAACTGTTACTGTATGTGAGCCATGTATCACCTTGCAAAAAACAAAACAAAAAACCAGCCCTTGTGATTAATGTAAACAAGTCACCATCAACTTTTGCTCTGTTCTTCTCTTCTCCAATAGGTCATCTTTAACAGGTAGTATGATTAACCCAATTGGAACTCAGTATGCCCAGCATAAATATGGCTTCCCAATAACGTGCGCACTCACTAGTGGCTAATAACTACGTTTGTGTAGTGCTTTCCACTTTACAAGCTTGCTTTCTTTCTATTGACTCCAGAAGTTAGATTCTTATTCCTATTTTATAGAATTATCTAACACAAAATTGTTAAGTGACTCATGTAAGTCCATTCCTTTTCCTTAGAATATCTCCCTCAGTGAGAAGAAATCATAAACATTTTGTGCAACCACTGGTTGTACAACATCCTTTGGCTGAATATCCTTACTTGCAGATGCTGCATTTATAAGCTGCACCACCACCAAGGCGGATTGTGGAGTTAGAATTGCGGTTTAGTCCCTGGTCTTCTACAGTAGTTCCTTCTCTTTCCTGTTGTAGTTGTTCCAGGAAAGGCAAAAGCC